TCCTTGTACCTTATATGATCATGTGACCTCCCAAAATGGCCATACCTTACAGTCTCTGAATTCATCTGCCTAAGGTATAGAATGGTGAACTGAAGAACGGGGAATAAGTGAGCCTTCTGACTCCCAACCACATGTTCAGTCTCTGAGATCTCAAACTGTCTTGCAAGCTGAGAATTAAGTTTTTGTATTGCTCAACTACCTGCAGCTGGACATGGGAGTGGGACTGACATGCTCATTGTATGTCATTTTGCCAGCTCTGTGTGCTCCCTACAAGCCTGATATGCTTATTGCTCTTCACTGCACATGGTCTCTCTCTAGGAACCATATCCAAACAGGACGTTGGTGACCATGGTCTTCCACAGATCTCTTCTCTTTGAGGCATACAGAATTTCCAGTGTTAATACATTCATGCATTTAGATAGACTCTTGACATGTCAACCTCTGTTTTCCACAATCTCTCCTTCCTTCAATCTTTCCAGTTACAACCAGACTTTTAATTTCCTCTTTCCTCGTAACACGCAAATGCCCTTTTCATCAAATACTTCACATTGGTCTAACTCTGCTCTTAGCAGTAAGCAGCAGAAATTCTCCTTAGTTTCACCTAGCAAGTAAGTCACCACTGTACACATCTCATTTCTTGTCGCTTAACCTTTTAGGACTTAACTCCTCCCTTTGGTGTTTTATTATAACTGAATATAACTGATTAGTGTACAATATCAAGCTTGCAGTTTTGAACCTTCCACCCCGGCCTGATCAACTGTCATCGTCCCCACCCTGCTGCTGTTCCTAAGGGCTGGAAAGGGTCTGGCTAAAGCCTCCAACAGTGCCTGAGTTTCTATCCATTCCCTAATATGAAGTGGCTGACTCCTATCACCTGACCCTCCACTTCATTGATATAAGACCAGGGAGAGGAACAGGAAGTTTGGGCAACTGGGCTTTTCCTTCCTAAGGCAGCATCTCTGATAACTGCCTGCTTTCTTGATGTCCTAGTTTTGTGATTCAGTTTGTTTGTGGACTTCACTCTCTTCTTAACCTTGTTTTACTGGCTTGGCTTGGCTTGTCCCTGGAATCTAGAAGCCCTCTCCAACTCTGATTTGTACTTGAAAACAGCAAACTTGTTGCCTGAACAAGCCTCCACAAGGGAAGGCTGAGGGGGGATCTAGTGGCC